ACACACACACACAAACCCTCACATATATGCGTAAACAAAAAACGTTGGGAAAAAATATTATCGAAGATGTAAAGAAACACCCCCGAAGTGTTTTGATATTCAATCTTACATCATAAAGCGGATTATCGGTAGCTTCTCCTTAGTGGTTGAGCCTAATTTTAAATCTCTGCACCCTGTGACCCAATTTGTAATCTCCAATCTCCACACCACCCGGTGAAAGAACGTGGCTGCCTACCTGGTGTGCGACTGTCCGGCGGTTCGCACCCTGCGTTGTGTTCACATAATGACACCCTACAGCCAATATATTATGTCCGTGTTGTAAGCATTTTAGTCAGCATTCTATATTCATAATCATAGTTCACTTCAGCCAACACTAACTAACCTAGATTTAAACAGACGCGGAGTAATACAGTCGAACCTGCCATGAAGGCAAGGAGATTAAAAGTTAGCTCTAAGCTCCTTGCATGAAGGCCACCAGTATAATACGGCCACCTGTACAAACGGTCACTTTCCATTTCCCCCTTTCGTTTTTTTGTTGTTGTTTTTTTTAAATGTAATTTAACTGTGTAAAACGGTCACCTGTCCAACGCTGCCGCGATCACCTTGTTTTATCAACCCACTGTCAAATTTACCTGCCTCAGGCGACCAGGTGTGGTCACTCATTGCCCGACTCCTAAATTTTGAATCGGCCCCTGATGAAAAGTTGATTGACAACATTGGCTTGGATCTTGTACAAAATTTTAAATGTGAAACAGTCTTCTGTATGCTAAGACTTATGAGCACCTTGACCATGAATGCTTGCGCTCTGTAATATAAGCTCAGAAAGAGTCTTTAAGCCCATGTTTATTTGTTCACCTGTGTGTCTGCATTTCGAGAACAAACACTTCTCCTTTTTTTCCGTAAATTATTACTGTCACAAGTTGTAAAGTAGCATACCCGGCGGAGGGAAAGGGTGGGGGGGGGGTTGAGAAAGGCAATGATGATGGTCTTTACTTTACATGAGTTAAATCAATGGACACGGTGGTCATTATAACTCGTTTGTCTACACAACGTTCGGTCGATCGAAAATCCCGCTCTTTTGGATGAATTGTTGGTCATGTCTTAATCAAATTTGACAAACCACGTGATTTAGACCTACAAGTTATAATTACTAATAGTAATCTACATATTGTGAAAACAATAAAGAAGATTAATGCTGACACCAAGCGCCCATAAAACTCGGATTTATTTTTTATTATTATTTTTTTTTTTTTGCGATTTTACGACGCTCGCAACTGCATAAGGTCATACGAGCGCCAGAAGAGCAGATTAAAGGTGTTAAAAGAGAGTAACAAACATAAAAAGAAGAAGGGGAGATAAGGACGATAATTGTTTGATAGGAAAGA